AGTGTTTGTATCGATAAAACACGTGTCCCTGACTTTTTTCCGAGGACCCCGGTTAATACGGACACCCCGTTAATACGGACATTTTGGCATGTCCCCTTGTTGTCCGTATTAACGGGGTTCCACTGTACATTGATTTGAAGTATATATGGAATAATTCATATTTAAACTGCGGTTTTAGATAAAAGTGAAGAATGATCGTCGCAGTAAATTTTCCAATTTAAGCAACTGGAAAGAAGAAGCCTGAAAAAAAATATCAGGGCTTCAACGGGATTCGAACCCGTGACCTCCGCGATGAATTTACTGCGATGATCATTCTTCACTTTCGTTAATGTACATTAATATGAAGTTAGAAGTCAGCTTGAACAATGCGTCATTTTGAGACCAAAGTATCTATACCATTTCAAATAACTGAATTGGATGATCTGCATATATTTTAATATACTTTCTCAAATCTAATAATATTATATTTTTTGCTCACGTTATTGCTTTGGTTTTAATGTTAATGTACTTTAATCTGAAGTTAGAAGTCAGCTTGAAAAATGCGTCATTTAGTTTAAAACCATGCACTAACCCATACAAAATAGACCAACCTGCAACGAGATCTCAGGTTAAGACAATTTTTAAACGTGGTACCTCTACCTGTACGGTTTGCATGAGAGCGGGATCACAATATTAAATTTAATGAGCTGTAATTCACTTGAGTTCCGCTACTTCTTACCCAAAACGTCCGTTCTCCTTTGCTCTGGTGGTATGTGGTAATGTGATTTGAATATGGAGAAAGAACAGTTTCCGTAATCCATTGAGCCAAATGTTTTACTCATAATAGGCCAGTTAATTAAAAGAAGCTTGTTAATTCGTCTCAATATCAGCTCTGTGTTGATTGTAAACCGTCCAAGGGGCATTGTAAACGACTTGGAAAGAGCACTGCAGTAGTTTGTGCTTGCACGTCGTTTCCAACTGCACTGAACATTTCCTTTAGCAGGACATGCCTCCGAAGGAGGGAAGGTTTCCCTTTTAAAATAACATCTTTGAGACCAAAGTTTCTATACCATTTCAAATAACTGAACTGGAAGATCTGCATATATTTTAATATACTTTCTCAAATCTAATAATATTATATTTTTTGCTCACGTTATTGCTTTGGTTTTAAAGTTAATGTACTTTAATATGAAGTTAGAAGTCAGCTTGAAAAATGCGTCATTTAGTTTTAAAACCATGCACTAACCCATACAAAATAGACCAACCTGCAACGTGATCTCAGGTTAAGACAATTTTTGAAAAGTGGTACCTACCTCTACCTGTACGGCTTGCAGGAGAGCTTTTTCTCTGCGAGGCTGTCTCCACCATTCTTAAGCCGCTTGCTACTGTAGATTGTTTAAGCAAAAAAATAAATAAAATAAATAAATAAAAGAAAGAAAGAAAGAAATGATTTGTTTGGCATTCCAAAGTATGAAGAAATCTAAAGCTTGGGCCACTATGGGAACAGCTAGTCAGAAGGTTTACGTTGGTCACAGTTTAGTCATGTTTCCGTAGCACAAAGAAGGCAAGAGTGTTTGTTACTCCTCTCGTGAACGTATGTCAGTCCATCATTGGTACCACACGACATTTTCGTCAGGTTTCCCCAACAACTGGACGGTGCCAGTGTGTTGAGAGAAACTGTAATATTAAGGTGTTTTGAAAAAGCACATCGTTAGTAACTTTTAAATCATTTTTATGTTGCATAGAATATTTAACGATCTGTTGTTATTTCTCGTTGTCTTTCGGTTTATTCGAGGAGTCAAGTTTGTTACCTTATTGCTGTTTAGCATTTCCTAAGTTAAATTGAGACTTAGCATCGTTACTGATACAAAGATGGCCGTAACTCCGTCAGGTTGCTCAATTAGGGTGGACAAAGCGGATTCAACAGCCTTTTTGATCTGGAGAATCTTCGAGTAGACGTGGACGCCACGACTGCGTAAGACGGTGGGCCGTCATGGGGTCCTGGGAAGCGCTATTTTCTTTGCTGGCATGTTAATGTTGCTTCAATTTCACGACATGATGTCAGGAGTATGATATTGTTAGAAATACCGATCTTCTAGCCCTGATGTTGCACGAAGGACGGTAGCGAAGGAGGAACATTTTAAGATTTCTAATCCCGACGTATAACCAGTGCAGCCAACACTGTAATGTGTTTATGGTCTTTATGTATGGCAAGTGACATGATCTCTAGCTTAACACTTATATGGCTATTTATTTCAAAGATCTTGGAGTGTTTGGTTTAACAAATATAGTAACTCATGATTAAGATCTTTCAGACCAAGGTTTCTACACCATTTTAAAGAACTGAACCGGATGATCTGTACATATTTAAATGTACTTTCTGAAATCTAATGATATTATATTTTTTGCTCAAGTTATTGCTTTGGTTTTAAAGTTAATGTGCTTTAATATGAAGTTAGAAGTCAGCTTGAAAAATGCGTCATTTAGTTTTAAAACCATGCACTAAACCACACAAAATAGACCAACCTGCAACGAGATCTCAGGTTAAGACAATTTTGAATCATTGTACCTACCTCTAGCTGTATGGCTTGTATGAGGGCGTTTTCTCTTTGACGCTGTCTGCACCAGTTTTGACCCGCTTCTTTCTGTAGATTATTTTAGCAAAAAAATAAAGCGATTTGTTTAACGTCGAGTCTAAAGCTTGGGACACCATGGAAACAGCTAGTCATTAGGTTTAGATTTCTCACAATTTTTCGCTTCCCAAGTTTCGTTAATTGCCGGCAGTTTAGTCATATTTCCTTAGCACAAAGAAGGTAAGAGTGTTTGTTACTCCTCTCGTGAACGTACATCAGTCCATCATTGGTACCACACGACATTTTCGTCAGGCTTCCCCAACAACTGGACAGTACCAGTGTGTTGAGAGAAACTGTAACATTAAGATGTTTTAAAAGAGCACATCGTTAGTAACTTTTAGATCACTTTTATGTTGCATAGCATATTTAATGATCTGTTATTTCACGTAGTCTTTGGTTTATTTGAGCACTCAAGTTTTTTACCTTATCGCTGTTTAGCAAGTTAAACTGACACTGCACGAAGGACGGTAGTGAAGAAGGAACATTTCGAGATTTCTTATCCCGACGTATAACTAATGCAGCAAACACTGTAAATATTGAGAATCTATGCAAATAATTTTCGGCAAGTATCTCAGTTTATCTTACCAAGCTAAACCTTTCAGTCAAATGTGTTTATGGTCTTTATCTATGGCTAGCGACATGATCTCTAACTTAACACTTATATGGCTATTTATTTCAAAGATCTTAGAGTGTTTGGTTTATCAAAAACAATAACTCATAAATAAGATCTTTCAGATTAAAGTTTCTATACCATTTCAAAGAACTAAACTGGATTATCTGTACATATTTTAATGTACTTTCTGAAATCTAATGATATTATGTTTTTTGCTCACGTTATTGCTTTGATTTCAATGTTAATGTACTTTAATCTGAAGTTAGAAGTCAGCTTGAAAAATGCGTCATTTAGTTTTAAAACCATGCACTAACCCATACAAAATAGAGCAACTTGCAACGAGATCTCGGTTTAAGACAATTTTGAATAGTGGTACCTACCTCTACCTACAGGGCTTGTAGAGCGTTTTCTCTGTGATGCTGTCTCCACCATTCTTAAGCCGCTTGTTTCTGTAGATTATTTTAGCAAAAAAAAAAAAAAAATGAAATGATTTGTTTGGCATTCCAAAGTATGAAGAAGTCGAAAGCTTGGGACACAATCAGATGGAAACAGCTCGTCATTAGGTTTAGGTTTGTCACAATTTTTCGCTTCTCACGACTCGTTAATGGCCGGTTGTTTAGTCATGTGTAAGACTTAGACTGAAAGCCAAGATTTTAACAGGGATGATAGTGAAACACTATTTCATTATTGCTAATTGCATTTCATACGCTTGAGAGGACTGGGTGTTAAAAACAACCATAACACTAGCGCTCGCAGGCAATAAAAGATTATCCTATGGAGCCACCTTAAACCCATTCAAATGACGGGCACCACTATCAATGTTGTTGTTTCTGTTCACATCCACATTTGTCAACGTGCCGTTTACTTCAAGGGTTTCAGAGGTTTTCAGAGAGATGATCCGCACCACTATCACCAATATTGTTCACGCTCACATTCAGAACCTGTGACACATCAGAGTGGCAAGAGCGTGACACTTTCTATGCAAGTTACTGACGTGTGCTAAATACGGCCCTCCGATTGGCTCATTCAAAAATCTTGCGCTCTGATTGGCTATGGAACTGTTGAGCGTCTTACACTACTCGTAGTGTTCAAATGAAGAAGATTCGTTTATTTATCACAATATTTAAACCAGTTGCACATCCTTAATCGTAATCAATCCTCCTCTGAATCAATGAATGATATTTATTTTCCTACTAAACTGTTTCATATATTAGCAATTACACTACAGGTGCGAGTTTTCTACAAGCGAATAGCCAATAAGAAACAATTGAATCGTAGGAAGCCAGAGCTAATACTTTAATTGTTAAAAGATTCTGTAGCACACCATCGCAATGAGAACGGGTGATTATTCAAAATTTCATTGGTATTGCAATTTTTATTTCTTGGCAAGCCGCCTGGATCAGAATATTAAATTCAATGAACTGTAATTCACTTGAGTTCCGCTACTTCTTACTCAAAACCTCTGTTCTATTTTGTTCTGGTGGTATGTGGCAATGTAATTTGAAAATCAAGAAAGAATACTTTCCGTAATCGGTAATTAACTTAGTGTTAGCTTGTGATATCCTCTGTAAATATTGTTGTTGTTGTTGTTGTTGTTGTTGTTGTTATTATTATTATTATTATTATTATTATTATTATAGGCCGGTTAATTAAAAAAGAGATGGTTAATTCATCTCAATATCAGCTCCATGTTGATTGTAAACCGTCCAAGGAGCATTGAAAATAATTTTGAAAGAGCACTGCAGTAGTTTAATTGTACTTGCACGTCGTTTCTAACTGCACTGAACATTTCTTTAAGCAGGATATGTCTTCGAAAGGGAAGTGGGGTGGGGCGGGGGGGGGGGGGGGGGNATGTCTTCGAAGGGGGGGAGGCTTCTCTTTTAAAATAAGATCTTTCAGACCAAAGTTTCTATACCATTTCGTTATCACAATATTTAAACCAGTTGCACATCCTTAATCGTAATTAAACCTCCTCTCAGTCGATGAATGATATTTATTTCCCTACTAAACCGTTTCATAAATTAGCAATTACACTACAGGTGAGAGTTTTCCACGAGCGAATAGCCAATGAGAAACAGTGGAATCGTAGGAAGCCAGAACTAATACTTTAATTGTTCAAAGATTCTGTAGCACACCATCGCAATGAGAACGGGTGAATATTCACTGTGTTATCTCGGTCGGTCAAGCCGCTTCACGCTGTTACTGAAGATAAAACAAATTTTTCGAAAAGGTTGCATCCACATCGTTGTTTCCACAGTAACGACGTGACAACGTAGTGTTTTCTGCATATCAACAATTTTATCGAAATCTAGATCTCAATTTGAAAAACGTACCAATATCTCTTAAATTCGAGACTTAGATCTTGAAGACTGAAAAGCTTTGAAAAATTGTGAGTGTTTTCCAACGAATCGGGTATCATGTCTGCTGAGAAATATATTCAAGATTCGCCTTAACTTCTGAAAAAGGGACGGTCCCGTTTGTTATAGTTTTTGTTTGAGAGAGTATTGCTAGGAGCTTGCTATAAACTTGCTTTATTACCTTGGAATAGAATGAAACAAAGCCAAATGCGATCAAAGCGAGGAAACATCAACTGAAAGGAAAAACAACGTCTACAGATTTAAAATTTCATTGGGATTGCAACTTTTATTTCTGCACCAGCCGCCGGGATCAGAATATCAAATTCAATGAACTGTAATTCACTTGAGTTCCTCTACTTCTTACTCAAAACGTCCGTTCTATTTTGTTCTGGTGGTACGTGGTTATACAATTTGAATATCAAGAAAGAATACTTTCCGTAATCCGCTGAGCCAAAATGTTTTGCTCAAAATAGGCCGGTTAATTAAAAAGAGCTGGTTAATTCATCTCAATATCAGCTCTATGTTGATTGTAAACCGTCCAAGGAACATCAAAAACGACTTCGAAAGAGCACTGCAGTAGTTTAATTGTACTTGCACGTCGTTCCTAGCTGCACGGAACATTTCTTTAAGCAGGATATGCCTTCAAAGGGGGGAGGGGTTCTCTTTTAAAATAACCTCTTTCAGACCAAAGTTTCTACACTCTTTCAAAGAACTGAATTCGATGATCTGTAGATATTTAAATGTACTTTCTGAAATCTAATGATATTGCATTTTTTGCTCCCGTTATTGCTTTGGTTTAATGTTAATGTACTTTAATCTGAAGTTAGAAGTCAGCTTGAAAATTTCGTCATTTAGTTTTAAAACCATGCACCAACCCATACAAAATAGACCAACCTGCAACGAGATCTCGGGTTAAGAGAATTTTGAATTTTTGTACCTACCTAGGCCTACACCTGTATGGCTTCCATGGGGGAGAATTGCCTGCAACAAGGCTGTCTTCCCAATTTGTGACTCACTTCTTTCTGTAGATTATTTCAGCAAAAAAAGAGATTTGTTTGGCATTCCAAAGTATGAAGAAGTCTAGAGCTTGGGACAGAATGGAAACAGCTCAGCTAGTCATAAGGTTTACGTTTGTCACAGTTTTTCGCTTCTCAAGTTTCGTTAATTGCCGGCAAGTTTAGTCATGTTTCCGTAGCACAAAGAAGGCAAGAGTGTTTGTTATTCCTCTCGTGAACGTATGTCAGTCCATCATTGGTACCACACGACATTTTCGTCAAGTTTCCCCAACAACTGGACGGTGCCAGTGTGTTGAGAGAAATTGTAACATTAAGATGTTTTAAAAGAGTGCATCGTTAGTAACTTTTAAATCATTTTTATGTTGCATAGAATATTTAACGATCTGTTGTTATTTCTTGTTGTCTTTCGGTTTATTTGACGACTAAAGTTTTTTACCTTATCGTAGTTTAGCATTTCCTAAGTTAAACTGAGACTTAGCATTGTCACTGATACAAAGATGGCCGTAACTCCGTCAGGTTGCTCAATTAGGGTGGACAAAGCGGATTCAACAGCCTTTTTGATCTGGAGAAACTCCGAGTAGACGTGGACGCCACAACTACGTAAGACGGTGGGCCGTCATGGGGTCCCAAAAAGTGCTATTTGCTTTGCTGGCATGTTCATGTTGCTTCAATTTCACGACATGATGTCAGGAGTATGATATTGTTAGAAATACCGATCTTCTAGCCCTGATATTGCACGAAGGACGGTAGCGAAGGAGGAACATTTTAAGATTTCTAGTCCCGACGTATAACCAGTGCAGCCAACGCTGCAAATATTTAGAATCTATGCAAATAATTTTCAGCAAGTATCTCAGTTTATCTTACCAAGCTAAACCTTTCAGTCAAATGCGTTTATGTCTTTATGTATAGCTAGTGACTTCATCTCTAGCTTAACACTTAGAGTGGATGATCTGTACACATTTTAATGTACTTTCCAAAATCTAATGATATATTTTTTGCTCACGTTATTGCTTTGGTTTTAAAGTTAATGTACTCTAAGCTGAAGTTAGAAGTCAGCTTGAAAAATGCGTCATTTAGTTTTAAAACCATGCACTGAACCATACAAAATAGACCAACCTGCAGCGAGATCTCAGGCTAAGACAATTTTGAATCGTGGTACCTACCTAGGCCCACACCTGTTAGGCTTTCAGGAGGGCGCATTGCCTTCAAGTCCATCATCCCGATTTGTGACCCGCTTGTTTCTGTAGATTATTACAGCAAAAAAAGATTTGTTTGGCATTCCAAAGTATGAAAAAGTGTAAAGCTTGGGACACAATGGAAACTCCTTAATTTTCGTTTGTCACAGTTTTTCGCCGGCGGTTTCGTTATGTTTCCGTAGCACAAAGAAAGTAAGAGTGTTTGTTACTCCTCTCCTGAACGTATGTCAGTCCATCATTGGTACCACGCGACATTTTCGTCAGGTTTCCTCAAAAACTGGACGGTATCAGTGTTTTGAGAGAAACTGTAACATTAAGGTGTTTTGAAAAAGCACATCGTTAGTAACCCTTAAATCATTTTTATGTTGCATAGAAATTTTTAAGGATCTGTTGTTATATATTTTTGTCATTCGTTTAATTTGTGTACTTGGGTTTGCTGCCTATTGCTGTTTAGCACTTCCCAAGTTGAATTGAGACTAAGCATTCCTACTAATAGAGATATGGCCGTGACTCCGTCAAGTTGTTCAGTTACGGTGGACACTTTGCGGACTGAACAGCCCTTTTGATCTGGAAAAACTCAAAGTAGACGTGAATGCCATGGCCACGTAAGACAGTGGGCCGTCATGGCCTCCTTAGAAAGTGCTATTTACGTTGCTGGCATTCTATTGCTTAAAGAGTCATGTTGATTCACGACATGATGCCATGAGTATGATATTGGTAGAATTACTGATCTTCCTGCCGTGATATTGCACGAAGGACGGTAGCGAAGGATGAACATTTCAAGATTGCTAATTCCGACGTAAAGCTAGTGTAGCCAACAATGTATCTCACTTAATCTTAACGAGTTAAACTGTGGAACGTGCGTGTGAATGTATGCGTTTGGAATGTGGGTTAGGGAATGTGTGTGAGTAAAATGCAAATCAATTTCATATTGAATGCGTGTATAGCATTATCCCGGTGGTTGAATAAATGGACTCGTTGACTGAGGTCGTCTCTTAAAAACTACATGGTGTTAGAAGTAAAGAAAAAAATCCGCATCGCCCGGTCTCTCTGACAATCTAAGACATCTAACAATTTCAATTATGGCAGATAGTCTCCGAAAACCAGAACCGTTTAGCTTGGTGGGTAATATCGCGCTAAACTGGAAACATTTCGTGTAGCAGGTGGAAATATTCATCGCGGCCGCTCCCGGAGAAAAGGACGATTTTAAGTTAGTATTTCACTCAGTCTTACCAAGCTAAACCTTTCTGTGAAATGATTTTATGTAACAAGTGACATTAACTCTAGCTTAATACAAACCTCTTCCAAGAACATATGGGAAAAAAGAAAATGTCCTTTATGGCAATATATTTCAAAGAACTTACTGTAGAGTATTTAGTTCATCAAAACAATTTACCGTACCCAAATTCACAATTAGCCAATCAGAAGCCGTGTCTACTGTCCTGATATCCTGCGATGTAAAATCCCTGACCTGGTATGGCTTTGATATCTTGGTCACTTGGCCGAATTTGAGTCCGGTAAATACCTAATCGTACCTTTTAGGTACGCTTCGGCGGTATATCAGGCTCGCTTGGTCTCGCCATGGTTGTCCGTTGATCATAACATGGATGTCCAGTATTAAAGATGTACGCTGCAAACCAAGGCTGCATGTTTCGGTCGACCTATTAGCTGAAGTATGGCCGCCATGTTGCGCGACATCGTCGTCGTGGGTGCACGCCCATGAGCAGAACCGCTGGCGATCATGACTTCGTCTTGCCAAAATACGAACCAAGGCTCGACCAGACTAGACTGATATACCGCCGAAGCGTACCAAAAACGTACGATTGGGTATAAGTATCATTATTTAGCTCTTTCTTCTCATCGCCCTTGCCTCATGGCGTGCTTTACCCTCGTGAATGAATCTCCTTTCCTGTCCTCGGTTAGTCTCACGAAATTGGCAAGTAAAAAAGCTTGGAATTTTCAATTGAAACTTTAATATTAAAAAAAACACCATATTGTAAATTTTACATACCTTTTTTCATTTTGCGAGCAAATCTGTAAGGATTTCCCATTTCTTTCCACTCTGGAATTTTTAAAGTACTTCTAAAGAATTCGTGAGAAAAAGCAATGGATTCTGTAATATACAATCGTGATCTGCACAGCGTCCATTGACATGCATATATGCCCAGTAGTTGTTTGAATAACAACATTGCAAATACTTACAAACAAACAAAAGAAAATTAATATCATTATCATATGACTGAGAAAATTACTCTATTGTGATTGGCTGAGAGCAGGCCAATTTATCGTTAATTCTTAATTTGCACATTAACGCGCGCGCGTTCGCAATTTTCCCAGTCACATAATAAATGAGTAATCGTATCACTCGTGGTGTAAGCCTTTAATTGCACTCGCATTCAAACGAAAAAAATGAAAAACTCGCACTCACTCTCAAACACGCACACGCATCAAGGCGACTACAGCAGAATTTTATATCAGCATCCTGCCCTGGCAAAAAAAAAAAAAAAAAAA